ACACGTGGAAATCTGGACAACAAAAACCGATCCATTTTACTACTAGCTCTACCTTTCACTCGTTCGCATGTGAAAAATGAGGTCAAAGGCTAACATCAATTTCCTGTTTCGGTTTACGTTTTACTATCTATATGATAATTTACTGTACTCCGGCTTCCTCCCACAGTCCAAAGACATAACTGTTAGGCTAACTGGCCTGTCTAAATTGTCCTTAGGTGCGAGTGTGTGTGTGCATGATTGTTTGTCCTTTGTGTCTCTGTGTTGCCCTGCGATGGACTGGCTCTCTGTCCAGGGTGTACCCCGCCTGATTGCCCATTGACTGCTGGAGATGGGCACCAGCCCCTATGTGGACAAAGCGGGTTCAGACAACGGATGGATGATAATTTACTGATTATTTTGTTTTGGATGTTAAATATCATCACGTCCACACATTAAATTAAAATGAAATTGTAAAAATTAAAAAATTAAAAATCTAATATTTACATGAGGGTGCTATGGGGGTGCAATGACTAAATCCAGGGGTAGCTATAGCGCCCCCTAGCTCCCCTCTGGCGCCGCCACTGCAGCTCATATGCAAACGGCTAAGGAGCAACAGGCTTTTATTTTGTAAAATACAGAGCGATTGAATATGAGGAATATTGCATAAATCAATGATGGACTGAAACTTTGAGACAATATTTTATTTCTTCAAAAGCATTTCCTCCATTAATAATGCTTAATGTCACATTTAAGTCAGAACTTGATTTGGATATCTCACTCTAGATTAGGATTCTCTTTTTGTTGACAGCTGCTGGAGGGAGAAGCTGCTGTTTCACCATTATGGTATTCCAACTATTAATGTATTTATTTTTTATAACTATGTAAGGATCCTATCAATATTTTCAACCAGCTGATTGACCGATTTAGCATTCAAGGTTCTTCTCGCTGCTGCAAGACTTAGTAAAGGAAAACCCTTCCAGGCACCGGGAATACGTTCCAACTCAGAACACAAAAACATCACATCATGTGCACATCGGGGATATTTTAAGAGATGATGAAGTAGTGAGAAAGAGAGCGATGCGTTCGGACAAGATGCTTCAAGGATGTCCCAGATATAAAATTTTTGACCTGGTGAATAGACTGAAAGAGAGAGAAGAGAGTCACATTCAAGCACATACAGCAAAGAGACAAAATGCTTCAGGGAGGAAGGGATATTTAAAAAAAATCTGAACAAAGAAACTTCAAAGACTCACTTTACAAAATACATTTTTAAATGGGGGAATGAGATTTTGCGACAGCGGGGCCAAAGAGAGACAACTTGGTGAGTCACAAAGGAAAACATGACATGCCATGTCTTTGCAAAGAAAACCTCATCTTGGAATGTTGCTTGTCCTCTGGGTTGGCTTTGACCTGAATTAGTCAAACTATTCAGGCCGTCAACTCCAAACTGCACTTCAAAAATCAGCCATAATATTACACCCATCAAGGTATTAACTGAGCTGAAACTCTGATGGACCTTTCCGCGGTGTCTGGCACCAAAAGTTCCTCCGTGTAACAAGATGTGCTTTTATGGATTAGACTTTATTCTCCTGAGAAACTTACAAATACTGAATTGGACTGACACATGTGAATGTTTGTAGATGACACTCGACACTTGTCCGTTTCTGAACTATGCTTGTATGTGACAGCATATTGTTCTGTTGACTGAGTTTGCTACAGTAAGAGGAAAACCTGTCAGTAAGCATGCTGATCAGCAGCAATGTAGTTTCAGATCAAAGTAACATCCCCAGACTGGCAGAACCCATGATTTCTCAGTGGTTGACTGCCAAAAGCATCATATTGTTCCAACCTTCTCCTCTTACGCTAACATATTTGACCCACACGATTCTGCATAACGTACCACCAATAATATTCATCCTTCCATCCATTTTATCCACTTATCCGGAGTCAGGTCGTGGGGGCAGAGAGGCCCAGACTTCCCTGTCCTCAGCCACTTGGGCCAGTTCCTTCGGGGGAATCCTAAAGCTTTTCCTGATCAGTGTAGCAATTATTACATATTAATTATGACCAATAAGATGTGATGATTCCATATAAATATGAAATATTAATCTGATTGATCTTTGATTGTTTAATCAGAAGATTTTAGGGTTCTTTGCTTCTTTAGGGACCATAAACACACTTCGTATTAATCCAGACTGAATCAAGTATATAGTTTATAAAATGAATAAAATTATTTTTCCTAAACTAATAATTTATACATGACAAGATATGAATAAGGAGATGTGATGTGGTGGATGTGAGGTGTTGTGATGGAAGCTAGATGTTGTAGCAACTGTTCTTTGTATCTGAGAGAAATAGTGAAATGTGGGTGTAAAAGAATTTGTTGTTTGGTTCTAACTGGAGAGTTGTTTATTAAAAACAGCATCAGATGCAATCTGCCATGCCAAGTCTACGCACACTTGGTGTGGAGGTTCTCGTTCGATCTGGGGGGGGGGGGTCGTACTGGTCACTGCCAGTGGAGTGAACTCTGATATCAGAAACCCGTAGATAGTTCCGATAGGACCCGTCCAGTCTGAGAGCCCTTGAGGTGAAGGCCAAAAGCTGGAATGCTTGTTTGCGTCTAAGGTTGATGTTTGCTTGGCTCTTAGAAGAGCTGGTTGTCTGGTATAAGCCGCAGCGTTGCAGAGGCTTTGACAGGAGGTCAAAGGAGAAGATGGTTTCAAAAATGCTTTATTCCCAAATTGGCCGGTTCAAGGGTCAGCGAGAAACCTCAGAATTTGACACGTTTCTGAGTTTTTACCAACATCCCTCAGAAAGCCACGCCTTCCTTCAGATGCAAAATTCTTAGCCTTAATATGTAACTTATTGTAATGTGTATGAGTATAAACAATGATTAACTTGTTAAATCAACACATACTGATTTGTGAGATAAATAGATCATTGTAAGAACAATATCCATGTTAAATTCATTGATTTAAGTACAGATTATTCAAACATTTCATTTAAACATCTTGTTCATTCATCACACATGATTATTGTAAGCTTATGAGTTATAAAAGTCATGGAGTCTTCCCTTATTCTGAGTGAAGAATGTTGACGTCCAGCATTCATGCAGCGTGTAGGACCTTGGGAGAGTCTGGATTTTTTGTCTTCTGTATGTAAACACGCGCTGAGCAGAACCTTCTGGATTTAGAAGGCCAACCAGAAAGTGGATTTATTTCTGTAGATGAAAGGTTATTATGTGGCTCAATATATAGGTGAAAAATGACCCTTTTGGTACGATACACCAGCAAAGAAACATAGTCCCTCCAGCGTGTCCTGGGTCTTCCTTTCAGGTCTCCTTCCAGTTGGACGTGCCCGGAAAATCTCACTGGGGAGGCGTGCAGGAGGCATCCTAACCAGACCCTGGAAATGGCCTCTCTTGATGTGGAAGACTTAAGCTTGGTTTATGCTTGACGCATTCACTTTCCGCGCGGTGATGCGGCTCGCGGATGGAACGTGCTTCACAACTCTCTGCGGTGAGCCAATATTCTCCCAAACTGAACGGGGCAGCATGGATCTCTATGGCATGCATCCAACACTACACCATAGTAGAAGTAGAAATGACTGTTTACAACATGGCATTTCAGCATTTTTAACAGCGTTCTCGTCTTTTCCGACAGTGCGAGCTATTTCTCTCCAAGAATTATTAACAACATGTTGATCACCGTGATCTTTGAGAGCTGAATCATACAAATGTCTGTATTTACGAACCTCTGCCGTACTAGTTCTTGCTGGTCCGCCATGTTTTTCCGCGTCCGTCCGTCCGTCCGTCCGCGTGGTTAGAAATGTTCCGAAGTGCGCGTTGCGGAAATTCTGAGCCTTGCGGAGGCGCGGTGGAGGGGCGTGGTTGTTAGAATGACGCAACTTTTCCGCGCGGAGCCGTGCGGACCTCGCGGACGCGTCAAGCATAAACCAATCTTTAAACTCCTCCACTTGAGGCAGGACCTCATCCCTGACCTGGAGAAGGCATTCCACCATTTTCTGATATTCTATTCACTCATTCATTTAAAGCTTTTTTTTTTCAGTCAACCTGGCCACTTTGTATCTATACCTGTATACCTCCACACTCAACAAACTCTTCTGCACTGTTTTCACCAGAAGGAAGATTTATGTTGGTTGGATCTGACTATCCCAGATAACCTAGAAGGCTATTTGCATTGGCAAAACATTCAATATTTTTTTGTTCTTCCACCACATTGGTAAATCCTGAGAAAACCAGAACATCCCACAATCTGCAGTTGCATAGATGCCATGAACCAGGCTTTGAGCCAGCATCAATTTCCACTTGTCAGAGTCACTGAAATCCTTACACATTCCCACTTTTCCTATTTCCAAGACAACATCCTCAAGGACAGAAAGTCCACTTGATGCCTTTATATATTTCACTCACTGCCAAATAGAATTTTCACAGAATAATCAGTCTCATTTTTATCCCATCTGTCGTACATCCTATTAAATCAGGCAGAACATAACAGGTTCAGCAGCTGACCAATTACGAGATCGGTTTGGCTAAGATCTACTGAGCAACAGGGAGATTAAACACAGTCAGGAAAATTACTACAGTCTGCCAGGACTGGAGAAACGACCCATAAAATGCTGCAACACCTCACTCAGCCCACATTGGGGCTGGACAGACAGCAAATATGTTTAGCTGCAAATATGTTAAACAGCTGCCCGCAGACATCAGGGCAAGGTGCTGATGCTGACATGTCAGCACACAAAACAATAACACAGATGTACAGTTGTGCCTGGAGGTGATCCTCACAGTGTCGGTGTACTAAATCATATGAAGCCTGTCTCATTAGCTCACTGTCAGGCTGTTGGATAATCATGATGGAGTGTAGCGTTTACTCTGAATGACCTTCCTGTTTACGTGCATCCATCTGCTTAACAAACAAAACGGAATCAAAATAAATAAATTACAGGTACAGCTGTTGTTTTCTGCCCCTAAACGACATCCTCTTTCCTTTTTCCACCAGGTTGTTTTCAACTATGTAACGTTTTCCGTCAGAACATGGAGATAGACCAGTGTCTGCTGGAGTCTCTACCGATCGGCCAGCGCCAGAGGCTGGTCAGAAGGATGCGTTGTGACCAAATTAGGGCGTACTATGAGAGGGAAAAGAACCTTCAGCGCCAGCAAAGTGGTGTCAAAGTTCGAGCCCCATCCATCCATGGCAGGAAGAACAGGATTTGCTTCGGGCTCACCGACGTTATACAAGATGCCATTATTCGCCATGACGACAAAGAAGGTGTGTGTGCATGGTTTGTGTGTGTGTGTGTGTGTGTGTGTGTGTGTGTGTGTGTGTGTGTGTGTGTGTGTGTGTGTGTGTGTGTGTGTGTGTGTGTGTGTGTGTGTGTGTGTTTGTCTCTTTGTTGATGATTTAGTGAAATGGCATTGGCTGTGTAAACGAATGAGAGGGACAACTGGCACACAGATGCAGCAGAATTAGACCAAAACAGTGCTTTGTTCAGCTGGAAGCTGCCCACTCATCTGTGGAGAGCAGAGGAAATCTTTCACTGTCAATCAAACTGTTCTAGAGGACAAAAACTAGAGAAGATATTTGATAATCGTTTGAGGATTCAAAACAGGAAGTCATCTGTTCCTGATCAAGCGAATTTCTCTATGTAACAACAATTCTGAACCATTCATTAGAATGTTTTATTAAAACCCATCTCTGTTCTAAAGACCATGGGTGTTATCAATAAACACATGCAATAAATAGCATGCTTGTGCATGATTCAGTAGTTTCTATTTGAAGACTCACACCAATCAATAAATACATAACATTAAAACATTAGGAGCAATAGTCCTGCATCCTGTAAATTACAGCCCAGGAATGCTTTGCAACATCATTTGTCACAAACCAATAGAACAATATTTGGTACTATGATTTTATTTTTGAGAAAAGCTAACGGCTATACAACCCTGGTGGGGGAGCCACTATTTTGTCAGTACACACAAATCATTTTAAAGGGCTTGACGCTGCACTCTGGAAAGTTCAGATTATTTTTCAACTCTTACCTTTTTTTATTTTGTTACAATCATTTTTACCAACCATTTACATAACGCTCAGAACGTATTTGTGCAGCTGTTTTATTGGCTTTAAATCCCAACCCGTCCTGACTTACAATAAACATCAGCCGAGGTCCCTGAAAGCAGAAGAGTTGGGTTGTTTTGTTCTTCTGGCTTCATCTCTGTTTTGTTGCTTTTGTTAGAACTTGTGAAAAAGCTGTCAGAGGTAAATTGGGTATTAAATGGATGATCTGTTGCTGCTTCTTGGCAGTGATTCTGAAGTATTTTCTATGGTTCTGGTGCTTTGAGAGATACAATTTTCTCACCATTGCTGCTTGAGTCAGATCTCTCATGCCTTTATAAAAATGATAGGGGTTGCTTTGGCTGAGTTCTTTTCAGAATGAGAATGTGTCCTCTCACAACATAAGAGCTTTTGAGGAAAAGAGGCTAAGGTAACTCTAGTTTAATGCATATCTAGCATGTTTTGTTTTTACTTTGAAAGCATGAAGCAGTTGGGGTTGTGAGTTAAAAAACATTGCTGATTTGAGGTGTTTTTATAATCAAAACCCACCACACCAGTATCTTGTTGTCTTATTTTGTGATTTTTTTTGTGTTATTATTATTCATCATTTCATGGGTCTTGATAAGACTGAAGTATGAAATCAGGCTCATTATAAAAGTACAACAAAAGCCCACATTTGTACATGTAATTTAGCCAATCAAGGGTTCTTTCTCTTTTTGTTGTCCATCCATTCATTCATCCATCCACCCATCCATCCATCCATCCATCCATCCATTTTTGTCCGCTTATCCAGAGTTGGGACGCGTGGGCAGTAGCCTAAGCAAGGAGGCCTAGACTTCCCTCTCCTCAGCCATTTGAGCCAGCTCCTCTGGCCAGGCGTTCCCTGTCCAGCCAAGAGACATAGTCCCTCCAGTGTGTCCTGGGTCTTCCATTAGGTCTCCTCCCAGTTGGACTTGCCTGGAAAACCTCACTAGGGAGACATCCAGGAAGCATGCCAACTAGGTGCCCGAGCCACCTCAACCGATTCCACTTGATGATAGGGGAGCAGCGGATCTACTCTGAGCCCCTCTTGGATGACCGAGCTTCTCACCCCATCTCTAAGGGAGAGCCCAGACACCCTGCAGAGAAAACTAGTTTCTGCCGCTTGTATCCACAATCTCATTCTTTCGGTCACTAACCAAAGCTTGTGACCATAGGTGAGGGTCGGAGCGCAGATAGACCGGTAAATCGAAAGCTTTGCCTTTCAACTCAGCTCTCTGTTCACTACGACAGATCGGTACAACACCCGCATCACTGCAAACGCAGCACCATTCCGTCTGTCGATTTCACATTCCATCTTTCCCTCCACTCCTAAAAAACTCCTCCACTTTGGGGCAGAACCCCATCCCTGACCCGAAGGCATTCTACCCTTTTCCGACTCAAGACCACGGTCTCAAATTTAGACGAGCTGATTTCCATCCCAGCTGCTTCCCACTCTGCTGTAAAATGCTCCAGTGAAAGTTGGAGATCACGTTCCGATGAAGCCAACAGGGCCACATCATCTGCAAAAAGCAGACACCTGATCCTTATGTCGCTAAAACGGATCATCTCAACACCTTCGCTGCACCTAGAAAACCCGTCCGTAAAAGTGATAAACAGAGTCGGTGACAAAGGGCAGCCTTGGAGGAGTCCAACTCTCAACAGAAACGTCTCCGACTCACTGCCGGCAATGCAGACCTCTTTTTGTTGTCTTGTTTTATAATATTAATATTTCTCAGCTTAATATCCCTAAAATTATAATGATTATTCTTAAACATGGATGGACTTTGTGGTATGGCTCATTTAGGACCTTGAGTATAAAAATAAGAAAAGATAGCTAGAGACGAAGATCAGATTGGCTTACAGATGCTGAAAAGGCATTTGGGCAATCACAGACATCTGACTCCTATTTACGTCGCATACACATATATTTTCTTATCATCTGTATCCGGGTAAGATAAACTGGAATGAGCTAAAGAAAAGCAAGATGAGCAATGTGAGAAAAAGAAAAACTGGAAATGTAAGAAATTGAAATGTGTCAGGCAGGAGGTATCATCTTAGCAAAAACATGAAAGGGTTAAGATGAAAAACACCAATAACGTGCATCCCTGTGGCTGAACACCTCACCTTCCTCCTCCATTCCTATCCGTCTCATGCAAACATCTGGCCCGGCTACATTTTGACATTTGGTGAAATTGCTTTTCCCAAGCCAATCTTTTAACTGCATCAAGTCAGACCCACGTGAAGCGGCAGCGGGTGCTGCTCTTGAAACCACGCCATCTAAACTTGGTGTTGTTTTCAAGTTTAAACTGACATAATATGAAGTGACATCCTGTGTTTGTGACTTTGCTCGTCTACATTAGTCATTCATCTATTAGCTACACCCTCACAACCGTGTTTTATTAGATTCATTACTCTCAAGAAAAATCATCTCAACAAATATTAAAAAGGCTATCTGTGACATACATTCATAATCCTAGGAGAATGAATTCCACTGCCTTTGTTATTCTCCTACATTTTTGGGACCTTTCTCAGCTCAAAACTGATATTTCCCCACTGGCAGAAAAATATATCACCTCTGCAGCACACAAATAACTTCTATTGTCTGAGGTGTGAACAGCTAACCAAGACAGAAGTATTGTGTCTGGGATTTTATTCCAGTCCCTGCATTAATTATCCGCCTCTTTCTTCATCTGTCTGGTCGGAGTGCATGCAGTAAGAAGCAGTTTTAGCCACAGTGTTTAGTGCAGTTCTGCACACTCACAAAAGGTGGTCACATTGTTGATTCATGTGTAAACTCTTAATGCAAGTGCAGATTTTAGTCTTTTATTGTGTTTTATGACACTGCTTTACACAAATTACCTTAAAACTATTTTAAATAAGAAAAACATGCAGTTGAAACAAACCTTTACACTTAACACTTTACTTTTGTTAATGTTTTCTCTGTTTGGGTTACCAACAGCTCATCTTTTATATAGGAAAGCAGAGGTGTGGACTCGAGTCAGACTCGTCATTATTTTAATGACTCCTGACTTGACTTGATAAAATCTATTAAGATTAACGACCTGACTCGGACTTGAACACCAATGACTTGGGACTTGAATTGACTTGCATCTGTTGACTTGATGATGACTTGAGCATATTTGATATTTTAGCATAAAAGTGGCCCGACATGGACAAAACTCATGAATGATTCTTGGTTCTGGGTGTGATCTTGTACCGCTAAATGCAGCAGCTCTTCGTTTATAATCAGTTTCAGCTGCACTTCCTGCTTGTTTGAGCAAATAAATGAAGCTTTAAGAAGCTTCATTTCTGGAATTTATTTATTATCATTGTCACTTAATTGAAGTTGGATGGATTACTTGATTATGACTTGAAAATTCAAAGTTAAGGACTTGGACTTGGTTGTCTTTGACTTGGACTTGACTCGAAACTTGACTGGAGAGACTTGTGACTTACTTGTGACTTGCAAAGCAGTGACTTGGTCACACCTCTGTAGGAAAGTACTGTATGCGCTCAAAGAAATTAGACTGTGATCTTTTGATGTCAGTATGTGTATCCAGATCAACACTTGCCAAAACTGAAGTTATGACTCCATATGAGTCATGAAATGCTAAGTTAAAGGTTTCAAGATTAATTCCAGAATCCAAATAAAGATAAAGAAAAACACCTTACTGGGAATTCTGTGGGGTCAGTACACTGAAAAAGGCACACAGACCGTTAAAAAGCAGTTTGATGATTGGCACAATACTGTCACCTTGTGTTAGTGTTAGCACTGCATTACAAATGGTGAACTTAATTCACACTTGCTGAACTATTGATTAAAGTCATTAATAAAACATCCCCTTCCTCATCAAAATTAATAAAAAAAAGAAAACAACTCACATTTCTACCTCAAGATAATTCTTAGGTAAGAAATATGGATGTTTTTCCCTTGCATGTCACATGTCCATCATGTTTTTGACAGAACTGGGCCCATACCCACCAAGGAGATAAACAAAAACGCTTTAATATGTGTTTTACTGCCCCTTTGTTAAACTTTCTATCGTTTCTTCATGCATTCCAGTTTTGTCTGAAGACATGTCCATGCAGATAAATGCATTTCATCAGGCCAGGAGTCCAAAAACATCTTCATCTAGCTGCAAATTTATTTAAGGTTTAAATGTCCGACCTGAGGCTCATTTGGTGACTCACTGGGGTTTCTTAGAGGATTGGTTTTGCATGTTAATATTTAAGGGTGCAAATGGATGAAAGAGAGTATGAAATGCAAAAAATATACCTTGTGTACTAATTTTCTCATGAAGGCCTGCAATGCTCAGTTTTAAGAAGATAATTTATTACATTTTCAAGTAAGTTTTTCTTTCTTTGTAATATTAACAAAAATCTCAGACTGCATTTTTGCACAAGATTTTGATTATCCAGGAAAAATGAACAGATTCAGTGCATATCTGTAGTCCTCTCATACAAGATTGTGAACCAGATTTTATGAAATGTCTTTGAATATTTATTTGCAATTAAAAGTAAAAGCTAAAACCACAATATGCAATCAACAAAAGCCTGACTTTAATCAGTCATCTGATTGCACATTGAAGGAATAATGTCTACAATGCACTGTACAAACATGCATTTGACTTTTGCTGATTTGACCCATCCGTTCTTCATCATTGGGTAAAATGTAATTATATATATATATATATATATATTACTCTTATTTGATTTTCTTCTGATGCATTATTGTGTGATATCACCAACCTTCTGAATTTCTGTTCATATCTTAGCTACATGGCGATGTTGCTGTAAGATGCATTTATAGATCTTGCTTCACGGGGATTTTACTAGATTTACAGAATAACAAGGCTTACAGAGACCGATTTGAATAAAGTCCACATGAGCTGCAACAACGTGCCGAGCATTTGTCCTGTATTAGTTTCTTAAGTCTATAATCATGCTGACATCACACAAATGGCTTTTAGCTATATGGTAATCTGTATTTGTATTGACTACAATATTCTTAGTGGTGCTGGAGAGCTCTGCTTAGTTGTTTGTTATGTTGCTGTTCTTACTGGGTTACCGTGACAATGTTTTTTATGTTTTTATGTCTGTTATTAACTTGCATTCAGCTTATCCCTGTGGGTGGCGTGTTAGACTAGTTTATTGTACACCAACTACTGCTAAATAACATTAGCAAATAAAAAATATGTTCATATCCATCAGAATAATGAAAAATAACAAATGAACATTATAGTTGGACTTGAGAAATCTTCCAAATGGTTCAGTGCTTCTATTGACTGCTGGTAGTCATTTTGCTCTTTTTTTGTTTCTTTTACAACACAAAGGTTGGTCTATGCCTCTTAACCCTTGACCTTTCTTTGTATGCTCTCACTCATGTGCAATAAACTTCTGACTGTTTTTGTACTAACCAGCTCCAACAGGTGGGGTGTTAAGCTGACCAGACCTCCCTAAAGAACCAGTGGTGCGCTGTGTGGAAATCTACTCAGATTTGACATCTGTTATCTTTATGGCAAAGCTTTTTTAACAAGACTTGGCTTGTAACAGAGTATTGTTAGTAAAGTGCATCATTTATTTGTCCATTCAGTAATGAGTTAAGCATGCTGACCCACGCAAAACTCATTTGTGTTTGTATGATAAACAAGTCCGTTGTAGCAGAGTAGAAATATCACCCCATCTGCTGCTTGAGAGCATCTTCAGTCTGTGATCATGTTTCATTAATCTGGATGCGATTTTTTAAACATTTCAGTACAAGTTAGCCTCAAATGAGTCGTGTACCTACTATACAGCGTTAACATGGTTACTGTAAACAGAGTTGTTGTGTTTCCTTGTTATGTTTATTTTGTATTTGCTATTTTACAATAGTGATGATGACAAATGTACATGACAAGGTTTGTGTCACTGAAATCACCTGAAAGTCCAAACATCATTGTCTCACCTCTCTCTTAAACTTCATGTGTTCATTCATCACTCTCTGTTTGTTTGTCACACACTCCACCACCTCTTCTCTCCAGCTTTCTGTTGTTTTTTTTGCTTGTCCCATGAAAAATGTATCAGTTGTGCTTCAGATTTGCAGCAGCCTTGTCTAGTCCACAACTCTCTGCTCACGGTTGAATGTGCCAACTTTTTCATGACAGTCCGTGTTTCCTTCCCCGGATCTGTGCCAGTATGTTAGTGGGTGGTGGGGCTCATTTGAGCTCAGCGTGTGTGACATGTGAGTAACCCTGTGGCTTTCTGACCTGCTGCAGAAAACTAGGAGCTATCAAACACACACACACACACACACACACACACACACAGTGTCTCTTCACTGATTAGCCCTGACGCTCTACGGACAGTTTCCGGACACTTTGCACTGATCTATTCAGACACTGAGAGGCAGAGATCAGTGTGTATTCATGTCTGTGCGCTCCTTTGATTTTTTTCTGAAGCTTGCTGCATATTTTCACACATTTTGAGAGTTAACATTCAGGTGTTTGTTTTGTTGCAGTGTTGCATCTCCTGAAGGAAGGAGTGGACCTCAACACCCAAACGTCCTCAGGGGGATCCTTGCTGCATCTAGTAAGATAGTTTTGATGATTTATGTGTAAAAATGGATGTTTTGTAGTAATTCCCATGATTCATAGCATTTATTTCCAAAGGTTTACTTCTATTATAGCCTGAAAGCCTTTACAGAATAATCAATATAAACCTGAACATGAATAATATTTATCCTCACATTTATCATTGTCGCTGCTATGTGGTGACCTAATAACATCCCCAAGGCCTTAATGATCATTGTTTTGCTGGGACAGGAATGTAATCAGAACTACTACTGAACTATAGATTTTTACATAGATTAATTATCATGTCATAACATTTTAAATTTATCACATAATTAATCTTCTGTACTCTTAGTTGTCAGCCGTGCCATCCCTTGAACCGATAATAATGTCATTCCCCCTCTCTGCTCTCTGCAGTGTGCTCGCCATGACAACGTGTTTGCAGCAGAGCTTCTGATCGAGCGAGGCCTGAATGTCAACCTGCAGGATGAAGACATGTGGACAGCTCTGCATGTTGCATGTGTGTGTGACCATGCAGACATGGTGCTGTTGCTGTTGCTGGTGAGTCAAGCACACAAACAATGGTGCACACATTTGAGATGTTGCTACCAATTTCTTAATGAAACCTTTTGTTTTTATTAAGGTTAGTTCAAGGTGGACGAGCAGTTTTGATGGTTTTAATGTTTGCTTTTGAACTGAGGGGTCTAATTGTGCACCACCCATCAATCATTTTCAGTTCAAATGGAATAGCATCCACTGATGATGGTTTTGTATTCTAGAGGGATTTACACATAACTTTTCATTCTCTCACAAACTTGTCTAAAGCCTTTTTTTCACATCTACATAAGCGTGACATCAAAGAGAGAGCCTGTTATGTGGAGGGGGTTTTGACAAGAGCACTAGTTGTACTGATTAGTTCTATAGTCAGAGATGTGCCAGCTGCAGGGGAGGGTATACAGATCTAGCTCAGTCACTCAATGGGCTGGAGCAGCTTTGCTGGCGTTGATTAGACCCAGAGAGGGTTGACAGCAGTTTAGAGGTCTACCGATTCTTGTAAGGTCTGGTTCTGCTGATTGGGTCCTGGGTGATTGCTGTTCCTTTCCTGTTAGGCAGGAAGAGCTGATCCTGAGAGGAATGGATATGTTTAGGAGCTCGCTGTGTAGAATGAATGCATCAGCTGTTACCTTAGAGCTGTTGGATTCAAATTTTTGGTTATTTTGATGTATTTGTATACAAATTTAAATAAAATTCAAGAAGAAAGTCACTTGGGATGCTTAAAGTCTGAGGAAGATGACAGGAATACGGGAATTCCAAATGTGTTTTGATGCATTTATGACGCAAAGCTGGCCGGAGACGGGCTGGTTTATTGCTGCTTTAATGGAGATAGCCATTAAATGCGTCCCCCTTTCACTACAGACAAAACTGTTTCCTTGTAAATAAACAAAATTGACACAGAAGTGACCTTTGTTGGAACACGTAGTGAAGGGAAAGCAAAAGCATTTTAAAGGAATACAAAACAGTTTCAAACATTTTTACTGATCACCAAAGACATCTTTACCTTTCAGGTGTGTTAATGTGCTAAAATGTTGCCCTATAGTGCCTGCCAACATGACTGTGTTAACATTCGGCTTGGATTAATCAAACATTGCGAGATGAAAATTTTCATTTCGTGGAAGTGTACATTTGTTTTGGGGGTAAATTTGTCTCTCAGATGAGGTTTACTTGACGTTTGTTTCCTTGATTTCTTTTCTTTTTTTTAATTAGCGTGTGCATCTTCTGCAGCATATGTTTATGTAGAAGGAAGTCCCATAAGATAAGAAAGTAGAAGAGCACTGTCAGTTAAATCAGTAACAGTTTAGGACATTTCGCTGTGATCTACTCAACAGATATCACCAACTGATAACTAGTTCTGTTTTACTGATAACCGTTTGCCTCAGATTCGTCTTCGTTCCAGAAAATAAAATATTCAAGCGTTGTTGTGGAGTCCGGCGCGGAGTGAATCTGATTATGTACCTTTTTGATGCTGGTGCTTAGTCTGGCAAGCCATCGTATATGTGAATAAATGTGCAGAACAAAACCACGTTGCTTCGGCAAACGGTTGGTCTAAATTCTAGACTAGCTGCTGCTCCTTTTGCCAGAGACATGGATGAGAAAGAGACGCGCTGAAGACGGAGCCAGCAAACTCCCGAGAGACCAGGCAAGCAACGCTGGTGATTGGTGGTAATGCTGGTGATTATGGCCCAGCTTATTTGGCTCACTTGGGTTTTGCTGATATGAGTCAAGGTAACTAAGAGCCACACGGGGACTCAGACCTATAAATAACGTGGCTTCCTGTTTCCGGTTTGTGAGCTTAAAGAAACACCAGATTGATTTTTTCAAAGAGCAAGTGAGATGTTTGGTAAATCATAAATGTGTTGTAGCTTTTATCTGTTTTTTTAGCCTAATAAAAATACTTGTTTGACTTAATAAACACAAACATGTCGTATAGCTTCTAATTCATCTCCTCGACTCTAGAACCAGTGCATGTTGAGTCTTTCTGCTCCGTTTTTACGTTGCTCCCATCAGAGCCGATGTGAGTGGAGATCTAAGATCTAACAGGTTTAGATTTGAATGGGAAATTTGAAGAATCAGCCTGCTAGAAGAGCTCAATTGTGCCACTCTTATCTTGGACTGGAACAGGAAGGAATACACCAGCTAATATGTGCTAATCTATTGTGTCCCACTCTGCCATCCATTCCCTCATTTCCCTTCCCCTCCCTTTGCCCTCTGCCTCTATGTCCTTGATTTCCTGTCTCCAGTCTCTGCTCAGATGTGTCTTTTTGCTGACAGAGATGTTAGCAATCTTGTCTTGTGAGTGATGCAGGGGTTCTGGCGGGGGGGTGCTGATGAGGAGACAGAGCCCTTTGCCGGCAGTGATATTAATTCTCTTATCTGCTGCTTCCAAACAGCGGGGAAGCAAACCATTTCCAAACTTAATCATTTCCAACCCATTTCCCAAGCCATTCTTAAACCTATAAAGCTCCGGTTTTGGTTAATGTCTGCTATTAAGGACCTGGTGGGATTAAGCAGCAGCTGAGACACAGTGGATTTTAAGCTGGCAAATAAAAGAGTTCCATTATTTTAAATCTACCCAAAAATCATTCATGAACTCCAAGAATAATAGTCACGTACACAGGCGTAAGCATAATTCCTTTTTTCCTGGTCTGCATTTATTAAACTCGTCTTGATTCATAATTCATTATCATTCATGATCTCTGACACTTTCTTGCTTTTCCTTCTAATATTACACTGCACTAGATACGTCTCAGTTTTATTCATCTAGATGCTAAATTATGATTCTGTCTTTTTATTCTTCATGAAACTGATAAAAGATGTAACCAGTGATGAAGCTTAATCACATTTGCTTCATTATGCTTTGGTTTCTACCTGTGTGTAACCAAAGGGTTAGGTTTTAGTGCATGCTTTCTTTTCGTCTTTGTCGTCAACATTATGTGAAATATTTTTATTTTAGCCTCTAAGCCCGAGCAGATGCAGACAGCTGTTGCGTCATCACAGAAAAGTGAGTTGCTCTGTTTTAGTTCCAAAATGGCATCCTCACTTTTACAATTTCAAACCCAGCAGGGATGCAGTTGGGGAGCTGACCCACTTTCTGTGTTTGTAAAGGAAGAAGCTCCTGAACTCTGAGGCTTGTGAATACGAATCATTTAAAGCAAGCCCCTGGCTGCAATAATCTTTGCTTAATGTCAGACATGATTTTTTTTTATTTCAGCTTTTCGGCTGAAAATGTGCAGTGCTACTTGAAATGTTGTTTAATAACCAAAATCATAAGTTTCTTCAAGAAAATTTTACATTGTAATTTTTTAAGTATACTTTGAATAAAAAACATCAAAAATGACAAAAATAAAACACACACACATATATATGTGTGTGTGTGTGTGTGTGTGTGTGTGTGTGTGTGTGTGTGTGTGTGTGTGTGTGCGTGCGTGTGTGCGTGCGTGTGTGTGTGTGTGTGTGTGTGTATTTTGTCATTTTTGATATGTTTTTTATTCAAAGTATACTTAAAAAATTACAACGTAAAATTTTGTTGAAGAAACTTATGATTTTGTAAATTATTTTAGCCAAGATGATGATTGGATGCAGTCAAACGTCCTCCAGCTAAACAAAGACAAGCTTGAAGTTGTCTTTGGAAATAAGAAGGGTGCTGTGGGATGGAGGTTATTGCTTCACTTGGCTCCAGAGGAATAAAGACAAAGACTCGGGTTAGAAGCTTTGTGTCATAACTTGTTCAAACCTGAGCTTTACTGGTCACATTAAGACTATAACTACAGCAGCGTTTCATCATCTTCATCAAGTAGTAAGACTCAGAGGTCTCATGCCCAGCTCATTCATGAGCTCGTCTCCAACAGGCTGGACTACAGCAGTTCATTCAGAAAGCTGCTGCTAGAGTCTTCACAAGAGCCGAGCACAACACCCCTGTTCTTAAATCGTTACACTGGTTACCAGTAAATTAAGGAATTGATTTCAAAGTGCTTCAATTTTCTAAATCACTCAGTGGCATGAGGCTAAAATACATGTTGCATCTCCTTCCTGTATATACGTCCAACAGGGCTCTGAAATTCCTAAACAACAGTCAGCTGTTAGAACCCCGTGTATAACCACTACGATGCACACAGATGTAATCAGCTTCCTCATGACCTCAAATGTGCTCTAACTCTAGTAACTTTTAAATAAACTTTCATCAGCCTTTGAATGATTGTTTCTTCTGCTGCACCTTCTGCACTGTAACTGCTCACCCTTTAACTTCGCCTTTTGATCTAATTATTGCAACTATTTGTATTCAAGGATTTAAATGTAATGTAATGTAACTTGTGTATCTTACATTTGATTTTAAAATCTGCCATTTTATGTTGTCACGTTTACCTTAAAGTTTTATGTTCTTGCTGTTCTTGCTCCTGGAAAGCACACTGAGCTGCTTCTGTGTACGAAATGTGCTACACAACTAAAGCTGCCTTGCCTTGCCAAGAATGTCACATATCTCCTACCATTAGACATTAAATCATCATCTGTGAAAAATATGACAACTACCTCAATTTATAGGCCAGTTGAGCCAATGAAAATATCTGAAAACTAAACCTCAGATCTGTCCAATTTCGATATTTTGATTGAGGGGAGAAGTAGCTGAAGAGTTTGATGTTTATGTGTGAATGGTATGTAGATGTTGTCAACAATAATAATAACATCCCTATTTTAACACATAGTATAAAGACTCTTAGAACCTAATGCATCAGCATTAGAAAAAGATTCAAAGCCTAAAACAGTTGCAACCTTCAGGTGGCAAAAAGCGCATCAGATTAAATCTATATCAGCTGTGTAGACGGCAGCGTTGAATGTCACAGGAGCCATGAGCCAGACAGCTGACTCAGCATGTGGGAGCAGTTTATGTTGTTTAGATTTACACGTTGAAGGTGTCCAGGCCAGCAGACTTCCCCTGGGATGCCTCGCCACAGCACACATCTATTAGCTAGTATTGATTTCTAGCGATCACAGTGTTTAATGACTGAGACACAAGGGTGTGATGTTTGCAGATCTCCATCTTTGAGAGGTCTGAAGAGGATCCATCATGCTGTGGTTGCTTCGTGTTCAGGGGCGCCTCCACAAAGTTTTGATAAGGGTGGCCAGACAGAGCCAAAGAAAATATTGGGGTGGCACACCAAATTTGTCTTTGTAGAGAGTTTAGCCTGTGGAGATGTGTTGCATAATGCTCCTTTTTTTAATTAAAAAATCAATATGTATTTAAAACACTCAAGTCAAACTTGAGAAACAGAAACATTTCAGAAAGATAAAGTTCAGTTATGTGAAATTTTATTTCAAAAAAGTTTTTTTGAATTTTTTGTTGGTTTATTTTACCTGTTACTGTTTTCACAAAAAATGTGGCGAGCTAAACTGTTTTTAATATGTGAGCAGCAGAAATATATGTAGTTGTTTTTTTAATTCAGATCATTTCTTTACTCATTAATTATACAGATTTTTTATTGTGTTTTACATTTTTGTCTTGAATGAATGTTGCTCATGTTGGGTTCAGGTCTCAGAGACAGCGTGAAACTGTAGATTTTACACAACAAAGTACAAGACGGCATAAAATTTGGACATTTATCTATACAATTTTCACAAATGACTGTTTTGCTGTTACTATCTTTGTGAAAGCCAGAAACAAAATATGGTTTTAACTTCTGTTAAAATGAAAGGCATTTTATGAAGGCAACCCCTGAGTTTGTCCAGCTGCTGGTCATAAGTGGCCTCCTGACTTAGATGTCAGTCAGTACCTTTCCTCCTTGACTTTATTGACTATTTCTGGACTTTGAAGTTAATTGTGTAGTCCAGGATCCTTTTTCGTTACCAATTCTTAACAGTGAGAGAGGCCTGACAGTTCAAGGAAAGCCTTATTAAACACAAATGTTAAAAGTATTCCGTATTAAGCTGTAAAATAAAAATCCATACAGAACAGAAGTAAACGATTAGAGAGCAAACCACGTGTGTTTGTGTGCATATCGTGTTATGTCATGTAGGTGGGTGGGGAGCTGAGGCGTAATGCTGCTTTCATAATTAACTCTCCGTCTGACTCACTCGTAATCTCATCCCCTGCTCTTCAAAAGGTGCTTGACAAGGGTTCTTATTTTTCATGGATAATCATAAACCAGCTTCTTGTGTTGTTAATGTTGTTTAATTTACCCTCCTCAAAGGTAAGCAAAAACAGTTTACAGTAGATGCAAAAGACAGCCATTAAAAATGATCAAAGACAACGTCCTTACAAAGCCCTTTTTTCTGAAAACACTAAAAATGTAATTTCGAGCATCTAAATATTGTTCAAATGGAAAATCAAGTTAACACTCTTCTTCCCATTATTCACTTTCTACTCACTGTTTTCCACTCCTGTGCAAAACTGGCCGTAAATCTCTTTGCCAGGCCGAAACAGTGTTATTTGCATTTTGTTAGCTGTAAACCTAAAACGAGAGTCCTCATTTAAAGCTTTTTTTTTTTTTCAAATATTGTGCAGCGAGAATCGTTACACAGGTGCACTTTTTATGGCTTAGTCAAACAACCAGAGGACTTTTATAGCAGACATGGTTGTAACTGCTACGTGGTTGTTACGTGAAGCACTTGAACCCAAAGAAGGGGCGATAAAATGAGAATCAGAGTAGAATGTCAATAGGGAACATCCAGTTTGTTTTTATATCTTCTGTTATTCTGGTACAGTACAAATTCAGTTTGATTCAATTCAGATTGTTTATATAGCTCCAAATCACGACAAGAGTTGTCTCGAGGCACAAAGTAAACATTCCAAATGAGTTATTCATTCATGCCAGTTAGTTAAAAATGTCCAACATAAGGAACGCAGCAGATTGCACCGAGTCACTGACTAGAAATCATCACACCAAGCAAGCATGTAGCGACAGTGGAGAGGAAAACACCTCTTTAGCAGGAAGAAACCTTCAAAAGAACCTGGCTCATAAGATAACGAGGCTTCTTCGCCATAATTTAAAAAGTGTAGTTTGCATTATTTGCATTACTTGCAAGGGATCAGTTTTGTCATCAAAACCCTAATCAAAAGTTGTCCATACACATAAAATGAATACAACTACCAGAATAAAGGAATCTCTAAAGCAAGTTCTGCAAAATCGTGGGATTCTACAGGGTGGAATTAAGTGAGGGAAATCTGAAAGGAAATTGTGTTAGATATCTCCCATTCTAAATCCTGCAGCTGACTGGTAAAACAGACAGGCATCAGTACCACACCCTGAAGCCACGAGGCTGGCTTTCCCCTTCATACATCAACTGTTTAGGCTTCGTCACTGCCTCCCTTGGTGGCTCAGAGGTGTAAGAACCGTGGGTAGACTTGGAAGCCCCCAAGCTGCCTGAATTCCTACATGAATCACACACTGACACTATCACAAGCCTGGCATGAAAGTGTTCTGTCAAAGGGGGCTTGCCTTTACAAACACCTCTGCAATGTTTCACTGAACGAGCACAGGTGCTTGAAATTGTTTTGGTGCAGTTCTCCTAAAATATACAAAACTGTATAGTCAAGGTCTTGATTGGTTAATGTAAACAAACCTTGAATTGATTTTAACAGTGATAAAAAAGAAGTGATAGGGAGGTTTCTTATGCCATTTTGTGCTGAGGCAGCAAACCACAGTGGCAGGGTCCCAGTTTGAATTTGAGGAAGCATTAATCTTGTCACAGACCCAGACAGTCCTGGGTAATAATAACCAGTGCCCCACCCCCACCCAAGCACTTCTCTGATAGCTTTTTAAAATTCACCATATAGTCCATTATCCTTGTGATTTAGTCCAGGTTTATGTCACTAGTACAGCTAGATAATATTGTCATACATTCAAGTCCAAAGAGTCTTTAACTGCTTTTTCTTGTTTCCTGTTCTTGACAGAGCGGAGTGAACGTTCTACTGCAGGACATCAATGGAAAAATTCCTCTTGACTACTCCTCTGAGGGAACAGAGACAAGCTACATTCTCCGAAAACACCTTGAAGAAAACGGTAAAAGCTTTGTCGGGGTGTTGTTTATTCTGTGGTAACTTAGACACTTCCCCAGTAATGAGCTTCACTCAGTCACAGTTAGTGTTTTTGATTTCATGTTTTTGCAAATCTTTCAAAAGAGTAACATTAAAATAAGTAAATGTTTATTTTTAGTCATATTTGAACCTGAGTTGTTTTGTGCGACTGTGTGAAGGTGAAAGACAGCCACGGGCCTAATGGTGGCGACTACCACCCACAGAGAAAGGAGAAGGTCAATAGTTTAGCTGAAAAATGGAGATGAACACATGAAGGGGAAAACTGAATGAGGAGGAGCGACAAAGCGAATGAGGGAAGGATGCCAGAAACATACAGAGAAACCAGAATCCCGCTGACAAAGACAGAAACAGATACGGGAAGTGACTGAGGGATTTTCCTCGACCACCTTGCTGTTTACTTGCATTATCTTGACACTAATCACATGACTCATGCCACCTGATGAGTTAAGGCAGATTTATCAAGAGCAGACCGCCACTATTTTTCACTCAGCTTCGTGGGATCTTTGAAACCCACTACCCTCCTACTGGGTTTGCCCTCATGAAATGTACACTTAATCACATGGGCTCACTCAGCCAGTGTTGCTATAGCAACATGATGGTACGCTCTCCTTTTGCTTATCAAGCCTGTGCAGTTATGGGAAAGAGTCTGTCTGTGGTTCACAGCATCACACAGAGGGATTCCAGGATACATGTTTATTAGATTCCTCCGTTTATTTATGCTTTTTATGCAGTCTGTGGAAACTATCAACTCTTTGGTTTTGTCTTGTGATGCTTGCGTTGATATGTTGGAAATACCTCTAGACCTTGAGGCTATGATCTGCCGGCAAAGACAAGCATATTGATTCAGCCAATTGGTTTGGGAAAGTCTCATTAGTTAGTGCCCAAGAGCTTATCAGAGTGATAAATAAACTCATTGGTAATCGATCAACGTTATTACAGCAACTAAAGTTGGGTTCAGAGTGAGCTTGTAATTATTAAGAGGTGAATTGATCTCCATTGTCTGAAACAGGCACCCTCAGTGTGTGATGGTCTAGAACTTAAAGCTTTTGTAGCGAATCTGCAAACAAGCTAGGTTTTGAATGCAAACACGGTCACAGAACACCCCTCCCCCAATTATCTTCCATGGATCCACGTCCACTGGAAGAGAGCGCTAAACACCAGTCGCTGTTTTCTAGGTCCAAACGCCTTTTTGTCGTCCGTGACTTCAAATGGTGTTTTGGGGGTTTCTGGTAGTTGGTGCTAAAGTTGAAGTGGTAGCAGCCGATTGTTTCTCCTTCTCTGATATTATTGCACCGCAAACCTCTCACACCAGCTGTGTTCTGTCGTTAAATACGCAAGTGTGTAATGAACTGAGAATCCAGGGAAGTTTGGAGGTTCAGTGAGGCCGACAACCAGATGGTTCAACGGTTCCTTTCATTTTTAGACAAATGGGAGAAAACCACCATTTTTTTTTTACAATATGTTAGAATGCTGTTAAGAGGCAAAAACAATGTTTTAAGCTAATTAGCTTTCCAAATTTGCCTTTGTAGTTTTTAGTTATTGTAATCTTTATCCGATCATGTGGGGCAGCATAGCTCAGGAGGTAGAGTGGGTTTGCCTCATGATGGGAGGATTGTGGGTTCAATTCTAGCTCCCTTCAGAGATGTTCTAATGTTGATTCCTTGGGCAAAACACCTAACCTGACATGCCTGCATTGGTGGTGGTCAGAGGGGCTTATTATGCAAAACGGCAGCTTCTCCTCTGCCAAACTGCGCCAGGGTGGGTGTGGCTACATAGTAGCTCACCATCACCAGTAGTGTGCCAATGTGAGAGTGCATCAATAATGGAAGGTGCTTCTGATGCCCTAAAGAGTGCTATATACTTCATATCAATAATAATAATAGTAATTATTATTATTATTATTATTATTATTATTATTATTATTATTATTATTATTATTATTATTATTCAGATAAAACAAATCATTTTTGTAGAAGTAATTTACCTCCTGTTCATTTATAGACATCGACTTAAGCCACACAAACTCTAGGAATTAAAAAGTTCATGGGTTAATGTTTTTTTCCCTCCATTATAGCTAAGGGTGTAAGTCACTAGTCTGACCACAATACAACATCACATCGATACAGTAGACTGCAGTTCAATGTTTGCCAATATTTGAAATTCAAACACAATGCCTTTCAGATTTGATTCAATTCAGGATCCATCGATGGATAGTAAATGATGTTATAACTGATTGCACTCATTTATTTCCTGGGGTCAAACAATTTCTTCAGTTACTGTTTTCTCACGCACTCGGTGATGTGCAGGAGCAGGTGGAAAAAGGCATGTCAGAACTTCAAAGACGAGCAACTTTATAAATAAATGTGCATTTGATTAGTAGTCTATCAATTATTGCATTTTGGATTCATAATCGATGTATTGTAACACTCTTAATAGCATTGTTGGTTTATCATTTGTGCTTTTATTTCAGAATTATACTGTAGATGTAAAAAAGACCATCTTCCTTAAAAAAAACTGAAAATTATGTATTACTGAACATGCAAATTTGAGTGGAACGTTGCTATTCTTGTCTTTTAGGCGTAGATTTAGCTTCCATACACACCATGAAAACACAGAGAGCCTCCACAATGTTGTCAGATGTGAAACAGCTTGTAGCGTCAGGCGAAAGCCTCAACCAGACCAATGATGATGGAGTTACTCTGGTGAGATACGTCATGCACATTCAACTCATTCTTTACCAAATTAGGCGTTTGATCTCTTTTTTCTAACACAAGCGTCTCTTTGGTTCTCCTTTCTCTGAAGCTCCACATCGCTTGTGCCAGTGGTTACAGAGAGGTGGTGTTTGTGTTACTGGAGAATGAAGTGAACCCTCATCCAGCTGACAACAACTTTTGGACTCCACTCCATTTGGCATCCAAATATGGACAGGTAACCTACAAATGACACAATGCCTGGGTGTCTTTGACATCTTGGAAACACAAGTGTCAGGCCTTGAAGCTCAATTGATCCAATGTGATTGCTTCAATTAATTAAATAATGAGAAAATATAATATTGATGGCCCCTCCTCCTGAGGAACTTGCCTCCAGGTGAATTTATGCTTTTGGGCATTTTCCAATAGATGGTTAAACAGCTGGCACAAAGCCAGACTATATATGAAGTAATTATGTCATTTTTTATTAGCAGTTGAATGTTTTTTGGTTAGAGGTGGGGAGATACGTTTCCAGATGAGCATATGGAACAGGATGAAAATAGGATCCGGTCTGGAAGGGTTCCAGCTACGAACAGTGGGAAGTGATGACATTTGGATCCTGCTGACCCAGCGTGATATTTAATACCCTTTGGGCTGAGTGTTTGGCTTCTGACAAGCAGAATATATTCATTTGGTGTTCAGACTCACTTTGCACTATTTACACCCGTCTGCTGTTGAGTCATGTCATCAGTGTTTTGTTTCTTCTTACCACAATGTGAGCAAAGCGCCTTTTCCTGCGCATTACCCACCACATTACCCTCCTCTGTTATACTTATAAAGATCAGCTTGTCGTTGTTTTTATAGTTCCCTTTCAGACAGTCGGTTCCACCCATTAGATTCCCAAAAGGTAATTAATCAGTAAATCTGCATTTACAAATCCTAACTGCAGGCCAGTAAAAATGGATTCCTTTTCTTGCACTCTCTGCAGAGATAGTGTGCACGTGTTTATCAGACTTAGCAGTAGCTATTTGGAGGGTTCTAGAATTGATTAGGTTTTCCTTGCAGTGCTAAAACCACTCCAGTCGCCTCCCTGTATTTGTGCATTAGCTCCTGCTTACAAACCACTCCCTGATCCCTGATTTACCTTTTGTTGTCTTCGTATAGCTAGTCTCTAAGGATCACATGGCTGGCACAGGAGGTTGTTTTAAAGTGGGCGCATGTGTGTGTGTGTGTGTGTGTGTGTGTGTGTGTGTGTGTGTGTGTGTGTGTGTGTGTGTGTGTGTGTGTGTGTGTGTGTCCAAGCAAAGAATAACTTCTTTTTTACTGTTACAAGTCAAAATCTTACTGAGAAATGCTCACTGGCTGTTATGACAGCAGCTGGTACATTAACTCAAAGACCGCTCGGCGCACTCTGATATGACCCTTTAAGAAGATGTAGGACCCTATTATGCAGCTAATTAAGCTTCCCCACCTTGGACGTGTGATAAGTCGGGTCTTGCCTCAGAGCTTTTTTTAGTTTGAATCAAAGATTTAAAAGTCAAGTTCTCCAGAGGGACAAGCATTTAAATAGTTTTATGTTGAATTTTCAGACAAAAATTAATGAAGAATTAAATGCCACCCACCTTGAATGAGATTAAGTTCTTCGGTCTTATGACTGAAACTGTGGCAGTTAAGCCTTTATGAGATTTTGGTAACACTTAAGTTTAGGGAACACAAATTAACCATTAATTAGCTGCCAATTAATATGCATATTAATGGACTACTAAGTCTGAATTAGTGATTATTAAGATGTTTGGTGCTTATTACCAATTGATGTAATTCTAATATTAACAGACCATAAATTAAGATTTTTATCAAAATAAGCCATTCATAATGGTTTGTTAACTGAAAGTAAAGGGTTTGTTGCCAATTAACGCACATACTAATTAGCTCAAATCAATATGCAGCTTTTAACGAAGTAATTCATGGGGAACATATTTTTGCTTAAACTACTAGTGAGTAGGTATGAACAAAACCCGACTTTAGAATGGAGAATACAGGTGCTGGCCAGTAAATTAGAATATCATCAAAAGGTTGAAAATATTTCAGTAATTCCATTCAAAACGTGAAACTTGTACATTATATTCATGCAATGCACACAGACCAATGTATTTCCAATGTTCATTACATTTAAATTTGATATTCATAAGTGACAACTAATGAAAACTCCAAATTTGGTATCTCAAAAAATTAGAATATTCTGAAAAGGCTGAATATAGAAGACACCTGCTGCCACTCTAATCAGCTGATTTACTCAAAACACCTGCAAAGGCCTTTAAAAGGTCCCTCAGTCTTGTTTTGAAGGCACCACAATCATGGGGAAGACTTCTGACTTAACAGCTGTCCAAAAGACAATCATTGACACCTTGCACAAGGAGGGCAAGACACAAAAGGTGATTGCTAAAGAAGCTGGCTGTTCGCAGAGCTCTGTGTCCAAGCACATTAACAGACAGGCGAAGGGACGGAAAAAATGTGGTAGAAAAAAGTGTACAAGCTCTAGGGATAACTGCACCCTGCAGAGAATTGTGACGACAAACCCATTCAAAAATGTGGGGGAGATCCACAAAGAGTGGACTGCAGCTGGAGTCAGCGCTTCAAGAACCACCACGAGGAGACTCATGAAAGACATGGGATTCAGGTGTCGCATTCCGTGTGTCAAGCCACTCTTGAACAAGAAACAGCGCAAGAAGCGTCTCGCCTGGGCCAAGGACAAAAAGGACTGGACTGATGCTGAGTGGTCCAAAGTTATGTTTTCTGATGAAAGCAAGTTCTGCATTTCCTTTGGAAATCAAGGACCCAGAGTCTGGAGGAAGAGCGGAGAAGCACAGAATCCACGTTGCATGAGGTCCAGTGTAAAGTTTCCACCGTCAGTGATGGTGTGGGGTGCCATGTCATCTGCCGGTGTTGGCCCACTCTGTTTCCTGAGGTCCAGGGTCAATGCAGCCGTCTACCAGGAAGTTTTAGAGCACTTCATGCTTCCTGCTGCTGACCAACTTTATGGGGATGCAGACTTCACCTTTCAACAGGACTTGGCACCTGCACACAGTGCCAAAACCACCAGCACCTGGTTCAAGGACCATGGTATCCCTGTCCTTGATTGGCCAGCAAACTCGCCTGACCTTAACCCCATAGAAAATCTATGGGGTATTGTGAAGCGGAGGATGCAATACGCTAGACCCAACAATGCAGAGGAGCTGAAGACGACTATCAGAGCAACCTGGGCTCTCATAACACCTGAGCAGTGCCACAGACTGATCGAGTCCATGCCACGCCGCATTACTGCAGTTATTGAGGCAAAAGGAGCCCCGACTAAGTATTGAGTGCTATACATGCACATTCTTTTCATGTTCATTCTTTTCAGTTGGCCAACATTAGAGAAACAAACATTTTTTCATTGGCCTTTAGAATATTCTAATTTTCTGAGATACCAGATTTGATGTTTTCATTGGTTGTCACCTATAAATATCAAAATTAAACGTAATAAACATCGGAAATACATTGGTCTGTGTGCATTGCATGAATATAATGTACAAGTTTCACGTTTTGAATGGAATTACTGAAATATTTTCAACCTTTTGATGATATTCTAATTTACTGGCCAGCACCTGTATATTCTTGCTTACAAGTGGTTTGATTGTTTGATTGTTGTTTAGGCTCTATTAACACGTGGCGTTTGGTGTTTATTTACATAATACCAGAACATTATAATTTTGGTTATTAATGCAGAATAACTATTCCCCTTGAATTACTTTGTTAAAAGCCACATATTGATTTGAGCTAATTAGCATGTGCGTTAATCAGCAACAAACCATTTACTGTCAGTTAACAAACAATTATGAATGGCTTATTTTGATACAACTCTTAATTTATGGCCTGTTAATATTAGAATTACAGCATTGGTAATAAGCACCTAATAATATTTTAATAATGACTAATTCGGACTTAGTAGTCCACTAATGTGCATATTAATTGGCAGCTAATTAATGGTTCATTTGTGTTTCCTAAAGTGTTACCGAGATTCTTTTGGGGAAACTATTCGGTAACGCTTACTTTTACACTTCCCTCATTTCTAAGTACTGACATGGTAATTACATAGTAAGTTAAAGTGTATTATTGTGTAATTAAATTGTACAATTGTAATAAAGTGTAATTGTTACTTAAAACGGTATTTACTGGGCATGATTAATAAAAATAAAAACTAGAACTGAACCTGAGTTACATGGTAATAACTATTTAAGAACTCGGAAACAATAATACACTTTAACTTACTATGTAATTACCATGTAAACACTTAGTAATTAGGAGACTGTAAAAGGAAGCGTTACTAACTATTCTTTTGATTATTGAAATGAAATGTGACAGCTACAATTAAACACTCGGACTAAATATTGCTTGTATTAATTAAAGTAAAGTCACACAGAAAGATGTTTAGCTCTAGCAAACTAGCTCACAAACCTCTCCATCTCTTCTATTAAACTCGAGCTGCTGAAGCGTTCAGATCTTTTGGGCCTCTGACTTGTCACCAGTATTTATAGAAGCTGGGTTTTTGCTGATAGGCTTCATGGGTAGAAGACATGCTCAAACTTCATGAGTGGACAGCTGCTGGCTTACGTCTGAGGCAGTCTGGAGAAAGCGCTGAGTCACCTGTTCCTGCTCTTATTTCTGTAGTGCATAACAAAAAATAAAATCAAATACATATTTTAGATTCCCACCATAGTATGAGCTGTTGGTTATTCAGTAGAAACATTTCTACCACTGTCATGGATGTTTAATTGAAAACTATTAGGTTGTCCTGATGTGATGTCATTGGGGTTAGGGTTATTTCTGACTCAGAGGCTTCTCCTTACCTGTCATGAATGACAGTATACTAAAAAATAAGATGAAATCTTTTTTGTTTTCTCTGGGATTTACTGTAAATGTGAGTGTGTCTCCCATCTCTTGCAGACCAGCATCGCTAGCAAGCTCCTAAAGCATGGAGCAAACCCGACTTTACTGAACTGCTATCAAGACAAGCCATCTGGTAACGCATTTGCTGTACACGTGCACACGAACGAGCACACAAACGCACAAAGCTCTTCAGCGGGAAAATGCAAACGGGCTTTAACAAGTGGGACGTAATGAAGCAAAATAAATGTATGTTTCTCCTGTACACTCATTAATATGCACTGGCATTCCTTTGGGGTTTAAGCATTAAGGGGATGTTGAATAATTTTTACACAAATACAATGTTATCATTCAAAAATATGTATCTTTTGTTTCAAAATCAAATAGAAAGCAAATAGAAAATTAAGCTAAACGTGTGTCACAGATATCTTGGACATCTGTTCCTGTTTTGACTGGTTGCCAATAAATATCAGGAAAGACATGAATAAATTATAAGTTGCAGACTAATGTTTCTATCATCAGAAAATGATGGCTACCTTTAATGTGCAGTTATGGCCCCTTGCATCATTCTCTTTTACATTTTGAGAAGTATCCATGCACTGAAGAGATGTTTTGCATTTATTTATAATGCTACTGAAATGCGCATAAGGATGGAATACAGAAATTGGCTCAGAGCAAGGCGAAACTTTTCAAATTCTTGTTTATAAATCACAGTCTGAAGTTTCATGTGCATGCCAGATTACAGAGCCTTGCAATAATTGAAATTAGCATCCCACATATATTCTATAATATCAACTTCTGAACCATTTGGCCAATTTGTTCGAAGGCACATTGAAAGGGAGATATGAGGAATGACACCGTTAACAATCTTCACACTTTATAAATGGGTCCGTTTTCTAGTTAACTGTAGCAACAACAGTGGAAACTAACCAACCCAGTTACAACTATTCCATCTTAATGCCTAACCTAATTATCAGATCATAACCTGCAGAATTTTGTATTTTGGGGTCACATGTGCATGTCCTTGATGGTCACTTTTCTGGCAGGGTTAGAGTTAGGGTCACACACACACACACACCCAGCAGCTTGCATGATATGCACGATTGATCATATTCTGAGCCCCTTTGGATTTACCTTCTAACCATGGGATGAAATGTCATAGCTGTCTCTCACCGTTTATTCTTTCACGCTTTAATCAAACCTCTGATTGGCTCATTCTGGTCTGAATCGATGCTCCATTCTTTGTAAGTGGACTCAAGAAAGATGTGAAACAAGCCCTTGGAGACCGACACAATCCCCATTTTCTTTGCGTGGGGATCCACACCTCTCCCTCAGCAGCCAAATGATGAAACAGAGAGAGAAAGAGATGAGTGTCAGGGGTGTTGTCTGTCACACAGACATGAAAAGACGGGATGAAGTGGTTCCCCTCCTTAGGGTCCTCTTAGAACTCATTACGATTCTGGATTTGTAATGCCTCTGATGTATGGGGGATTA